GTCTGTGGGTTCAGTGTGAGGTCTGTGGGTTCAGTGTTAGGTCTGTGGGTTCAGTGTGAGGTCTATGGGTTCAGTGTGAGGTCTATGGGTTCAGTGTGAGGTCTATGGGTTCAGTGTAAGGTCTATGGGTTCAGTGTGAAGTCTATGGGTTCAGTGTGAGGTCTATGGGTTCAGTGTTAGGTCTGTGGGTTCAGTGTGAGGTCTATGGGTTCAGTGTGAAGTCTATGGGTTCAGTGTTAGGTCTATGGGTTCAGTGTTAGGTCTATGGGTTCAGTGTGTGGTCTATGGGTTCAGTGTTAGGTCTATGGGTTCAGTGTGAGGTCTATGGGTTCAGTGTAAAGTCTATGGGTTCAGTGTAAGGTCTATGGGTTCAGTGTGAGGTCTGTGGGTTCAGTGTTAGGTCTATGGGTTCAGGGTTAGCTCTATGGGTTCAGTGTCAGGTCTATGGGTTCAGTGTGAAGTCTATGGGTGCAGTGTAAGGTCTATGGGTTCACTGTTAGGTCTATGGGTTCAGTGTTAGGTCTGTGGGTTCAGTGTGAGGTCTATGGGTTCAGTGTAAGGTCTATGGGTTCAGTGTTAGGTCTATGGGTTCAGTGTGAGGTCTATGGGTTCAGTGTGAGGTCTATGGGTTTCAGTGTTAGGTCTATGGGTTCAGTGTAAGGTCTATGGGTTCAGTGTAAGGTCTATGGTTCAGTGTGAGGTTCTATGGGTTCAGTGTGAGGTCTATGGGTTCAGTGTAAGGTCTGTGGGTTCAGTGTTAGGTCTGTGGGTTCAGTGTGAGGTCTGTGGGTTCAGTGTTAGGTCTGTGGGTTCAGTGTGAGGTCTATGGGTTCAGTGTGAGGTCTATGGGTTCAGTGTGAGGTCTATGGGTTCAGTGTAAGGTCTATGGGTTCAGTGTGAAGTCTATGGGTTCAGTGTGAGGTTTATGGGTTCAGTGTTAGGTCTGTGGGTTCAGTGTTAGGTCTATAGGGTTCAATGTTAGGTCTATGGGTTCAGTGTTAGGTCTATGGGTTCAGTGTGAAGTCTATGGGTTCAGTGTAAGGTCTATGGGTTCAGTGTGAAGTCTATGGGTTCAGTGTAAGGTCTGTGGGTTCAGTGCGAGGTCTATGGGTTCAGTGTGAGGTCTATGGGTTAAGTGTAAGGTCTATGGGTTCAGTGTGAAGTCTATGGGTTCAATGTTAGGTCTATGGGTTCAGTGTTAGGGTCTATGGGTTCAGTGTGAAGTCTATGGGTTCAGTGTGAGGTCTATGGGTTCAGTGTGAGGTCTATGGTTCAGTGTGAGGTCTATGGGTTCAGTGTGAGGTCTATGGGTTCAGTGTGAGGTCTATGGGTTCAGTGTGAGGTCTATGGGTTCAGTGTTAGGTCTATGGGTTCAGTGTGAGGTCTATGGGTTCAGTGTAAAGTCTATGGGTTCAGTGTTAGGTCTATGGGTTCAGTGTGAGGTCTATGGGTTCAGTGTGAGGTCTATGGGTTCAGTGTGAGGTCTATGGGTTAAGTGTGAGGTCTATGGGTTCAGTGTGAGGGTCTATGGGTTCAGTGTGAGGTCTATGGGTTCAGTGTGAAGTCTATGGGTTCAGTGTTAGGTCTATGGTTCAGTGTTAGGTCTATAGGTTCAATGTTAGGTCTATGGGTTCAGTGTTAGGTCTATGGGTTCAGTGTGAGTCTATGGGTTCAGTGTAAGGTCTATGGGTTCAGTGTGAGGTCTATGGGTTCAGTGTTAGGTCCTATGGGTTCAGTGTGAGGTCTATGGGTTCAGTGTAAAGTCTATGGGTTCAGTGTTAGGTCTATGGGTTCAGTGTGAGGTCTATGGGTTCAGTGTGTAGGTCTATGGGTTCAGGGTTAGCTCTATGGGTTCAGTGTCAGGTCTATGGGTTCAGTGTGAAGTCTATGGGTGCAGTGTAAGGTCTATGGGTTCACTGTTAGGTCTATGGGTTCAGTGTGAAGTCTATGGGTTCAGTGTAAAGGTCTATGGGTTCAGTGTGAAGTCTATGGGTTCAGTGTGAGGTCTATGGGTTCAGTGTAAGGTCTATGGGTTCAGTGTGAAGTATATGGGTTCAGTGTTAAGTTTATGGGTTCAGTGTGAGGTCTATGGGTTCAGTGTGAAGTCTATGGGTTCAGTGTGAGGTCTATGGGTTCAGTGTAAGGTTCTATGGGTTCAGTTGTAAGGTCTATGCGTTCAGTGTTAAGTTTATGGGTTCAGTGTGAGGTCTATGGGTTCAGTGTGAAGTCTATGGGTTCAGTGTGAGGTCTAATGGGTCAGTGTTAGGTCTATGGGTTCAGTGTGAAGTCTATGGGTTCAGTGTGAGGTCTATGGGTTCAGTGTGGGTCCTATGGGTTCAGTGTTAGGTCTATGGGTTCAGTGTGAGGTCTATGGGTTCAGTGTGAGGTCTATGGGTTCAGTGTTAGGTCTATGGGTTCAGTGTGAAGTCTATGGGTTCAGTGTAAGGTCTGTGGGTTCAGTGCGAGGTCTATGGTTCAGTGTGAGGTCTATGGGTTAAGTGTAAGGTCTATGGGTTCAGTGTGAAGTCTATGGGTTCAATGTAGGTCTAGTGGGTTCAGTGTTAGGTCTATGGGTTCAGTGTGAAGTCTATGGGTTCAGTGTGAGGTCTATGGGTTCAGTGTGAGGTCTATGGGTTCAGTGTGAGGTCTATGGGTTCAGTGTGAGGTCTATGGGTTCAGTGTGAGGTCCTATGGGTTCAGTGTGAGGTCTATGGGTTCAGTGTTAGGTCGATGGGTTCAGTGTGAGGTCTATGGGTTCAGTGTAAAGTCTATGGGTTCAGTGTTAGGTCTATGGTTCAGTGTGAGGTCTATGGGTTCAGTGTGAGGTCTATGGGTTCAGTGTGAGGTCTATGGGTTAAGTGTGAGGTCTATGGGTTTCAGTGTGAGGTCTATGGGTTCAGTGTGAGGTCTATGGGTTCAGTGTGAAGTCTATGGGTTCAGTGTTAGGTCTATGGGTTCAGTGTTAGGTCTATAGGTTCAATGTTAGGTCTATGGGTTCAGTGTTAGTCTATGGGTTCAGTGTGAAGTCTATGGGTTCAGTGTAAGGTCTATGGGTTCAGTGTGAGGTCTATGGGTTCAGTGTTAGGTCTATGGGTTCAGTGTGAGGTCTATGGGTTCAGTGTAAAGTCTATGGGTTCAGTGTTAGGTCCTATGGGTTCAGTGTGAGGTCTATGGGTTCAGTGTTAGGTCTATGGGTTCAGGGTTAGCTCTATGGGTTCAGTGTCAGGTCTATGGGTTCAGTGTGAAGTCTATGGGTGCAGTGTAAGGTCTATGGGTTCACTGTTAGGTCTATGGGTTCAGTGTGAAGTCTATGGGTTCAGTGTAAGGTCTATGGTTCAGTGTGAAGTCTATGGGTTCAGTGTGAGGTCTATGGGTTCAGTGTAAGGTCTATGGGTTCAGTGTGAAGTCTATGGGTTCAGTGTTAAGTTTATGGGTTCAGTGTGAGGTCTAATGGGTTCAGTGTGAAGTCTATGGGTTCAGTGTGAGGTACTATGGGTTCAGTGTAAGGTCTATGGGTTCAGTGTAAGGTCTATGCGTTCAGTGTTAAGTTATGGGTTCAGTGTGAGGTCTATGGGTTCAGTGTGAAGTCTATGGGTTCAGTGTGAGGTCTATGGGTTCAGTGTTAGGTCTATGGGTTCAGTGTGAAGTCTATGGGTTCAGTGTGAGGTCTATGGGTTCAGTGTGAGGTCTATGGGTTCAGTGTTTAGGTCTATGGGTTCAGTGTGAGGTCTATGGGTTCAGTGTGAGGTCTATGGGTTCAGTGTTAGGTCTATGGGTTCAGTGTTAGGTCTATGGTTCAGTGTGGGTCTATGGGTTCAGTGTAAGGTCTATGGGTTCAGTGTTAGGTCTATGGGTTCAGTGTGAGGTCTATGGTTCAGTGTGAGGTCTATGGGTTCAGTGTTAGGTCTATGGGTTCAGTGTGAGGTCTATGGGTTCAGTGTTAGGTCTATGGGTTCAGTGTGAGGTCTTATGGGTTCAGTGTAAGGTCTATGGGTTCAGTGTGAGGTCTATGGGTTCAGTGTTGAGGTCTATGGGTTCAGTGTGAGGTCTATGGTTCAGTGGAGGTCTATGGGTTCAGGGTGAGGTCTATGGGTTCAGTGTGAGGTCTATGGGTTCAGGTTAGTTCTATGGGTGTCAGTGTGAAGTCTATGGGTTCATGTGTGAGGTCTATGGGGTTCAGTGTAAGGTCTATGGGTTCAGTGTGAGGTCTATGGGTTCAGTGTAAGGTGTAATGGTTTCAGTGTGAAGTCTATGGGTTCAGTGTGAAGTCTATGGGTTCAGTGTGAGGTCTATGGGTTCAGTGTTAGGTCTATGGGTTCAGTGTGAGGTCTATGGGTTCAGTGTGAAGTCTATGGGTTCAGTGTGAGGTCTATGGGTTCAGTGTAAAGTCTATGGGTTCAGTGTGAGGTCTATGGGTTCAGTGTGAGGTCTATGGGTTCAGTGTTAGGTCTATAGGTTCAGTGTTAGGTCTATGGGTTCAGTGTTAGGTCTATGGGTTCAGTGTGAAGTCTATTGGTTCAGTGTAAGGTCTATGGGTTCAGTGTTAGGTCTATGGGTCCAGTGTGAGGTCTATGGGTTCAGTGTAAGGTCTATGGGTTCAGTGTTAGGTCTATGGGTTCAGTGTGAGGTCTATGGGTTCAGTGATAGGTCTATGGGTTCAGTGTGAGGTCTATGGTTCAGTGTGAAGTCTATGGGTTCAGTGTGAAGTCTATGGGTTCAGTGTGAAGTCTATGGGTTCAGTGTGAGGTCTATGGGTTCAGTGTGAGGTCCATGGGTTCAGTGTTAGGTCTATGGGTTCAGTGTTAGGTCTAAGGGTTCAGTGTGAGGTCTATGGGTTCAGTGTGAGGTCTATGGGTTCAGTGTGAGGTCTATGGGTTCAGTGTGAGGTCTATGGGTTCAGTGTGAGGTCTATGGGTTCAGTGTGAAGTCTATGGGTTCAGTGTGAAGTCTATGGGTTCAGTGTGAAGTCTATGGGTTCAGTGTTAGGTCTAAGGGTCTCCCTCTTCTCAGCACAGTCTGCAGAATATCCAGAGCCTCCTCTTTCGAAACTCCCAGCTCTGGAGGGGAATGCGCGGAGTGGAGAGTGAGGAGTGGGGAGTACATTCCATCCTCACCACCCACTCACCACCTCACTCACTCCCTCACCACCCACTCACCACCACCTCACTCCCTCACCACCCACCCACCACCACCTCACTCCCTCACCACCCACTTGCTCACCACCCACTTGCTTACCACCCACTCACCACCTCACTCCCTCACCAACCCACTCGCCCCTCACCACCCACTCACTCCCTCACCACCCACTCACTCACCACACCACCACTCGCTCCCTCACCACTCGCCCCCTCACCACGCCACTCACCACCCCACTCACCACCCCACTCACCACCCCACTCACCCCACTCACCACCCCACTCACCCACTCACCACCCCACTCACCCCCTCACCACCCCCCACTCACCTCCCCACTCACCACCCCACTCACCACCCCACTCACCACCTCACTCACTCACCCCCCACTCACCACCCACTCACTCCCTAACCACCCCACTCACCACCCACTCACTCCCTCACCACCCCACTCACACCCACTCACTCCCTCACCACCCACTCACCACCCCACTCACTCCCTCACCACCCACTCACCACCACCTCACTCCCTCACCACCCACTCACCACCACCTCACTCCCTCACCACCCACTCACCACCACCTCACTCCCTCACCATCCACTCACCACCACCTCACTCCTCACCACCCACTCACCACCACCTCACTCCCTCACCACCCACTCACCACCACCTCACTCCCTCACCACCCACTCACCACCCCACTCACTCCCTCACCACCCACTCACCACCACCTCACTCCCTCACCACCCACTCACCACCACCTCACTCCCTCACCACCCACTCACCACCACCTCACTCCCTCACCACCCACTCACCACCCACTCACCACCCCACTCACTCCCTCACCACCCACTCACCACACCACCTCACTCCCTCACCACCCACTCACCACCACCTCACTCCCTCACCACCCACTCACCACCACCTCACTCCCTCACCACCCACTCACCACCCCACTCACTCCCTCACCACCCACTCACCACCACCTCACTCCCTCACCACCCACTCACCACCACCTCACTCCCTCACCACCCACTCACCACCACCTCACTCCCTCACCACCCACTTGCTCATCACCCATTCACCACCCCACTCCCTCACCACCCGTCTCACTCCCTCACCACCCACTCACCACCTCACTCCCTCACCACCCACTCACCACCCCACTCGCCCCCTCACCACCAACTCGCTCCCTCACCACCCACTCACCACCCACTCACTCCCTAACCACCCACTCGCTCCCTCACCACTCACACCCTCACCACCCCACTCGCCCGCTCACCATCCCACTCACCACCCCACTCACCACCCCACTCACCCCCTCACCACCTCACCACCACCCCACTCACCCCTCACTCACCACCCCACTCACCACCCCACTCACCCACTCACCACCCCACTCACCACCCCCCACTCACCGCGGCTGAGCTCCGAGGGTTTCACCCCCACGAGGTCTCCCGCGGTCTCGAACCCGGCGGCCGTCAGTCGCTCCTTGTGACGAGGCGGCAGCGGGAAGCTCCCCGTGGCGCGCTGCATGCTCACCTCACAACCTCACCTCTCCTCACCTCACAACCTCACCTCACCCTCACCTCGCCCTCGCCTCTCCTCACCTCGCCTCACCCTCGTCTCTCCTCACCCTCGCCTCTCCTCACCCTCTCCTCACCTCGCCTCACCCTCGCCTCACCCTCCTCACCTCGCCTCACCCTCGCCTCCTCACCTCACCTCACCCTCCCTCACCCTCGCCTCACCCTCTCCTCAGCCTCGCCTCAGCCTCACCTCGCCTCACCTCGCCTCACCCTCGCCTCCTCACCTCACCTCACCCTCTCCTCACCTCGCCTCACCCTCTCCTCAGCCTCGCCTCAGCCTCACCTCGCCTCACCCTCGCCTCCTCACCTCACCTCACCCTCTCCTCTGCCTCGCCTCACCTCGCCTCACCCTCGCCTCCTCACCTCACCTCACCCTCCCTCACCCTCGCCTCACCCTCTCCTCAGCCTCGCCTCAGCCTCAACTCGCCTCACCTCGCCTCACCCTCGCCTCCTCACCTCACCTCACCCTCTCCTCACCCTCGCCTCACCCTCTCCTCAGCCTCGCCTCAGCCTCACCTCGCCTCACCCTCGCCTCAGCCTCGCCTCAGCCTCACCTCGCCTCACCTCGCCTCAGCCTCGCCTCACCTCGCCTCAGCCTCACCTCGCCTCACCCTCGCCTCACCTCGCCTCAGCCTCGCCTCAGCCTCACCTCTCCTCACCCTCCTCACCTCTCCTCACCCTCCTCACCTCGCCTCAGCCTCGCCCTCTCCTCTCCTCACCCTCCCCTCACCCTCTCCTCACCTCCCGTCAATGCGTCCACCGCTCACACACTCGCTCGATTTTCGGCTCCGTTGCAGTGAGGCGTTTCCCGCCAAAATAACCGGAAGTTGTTAATAGCACCTCTCACCAATTTCCGGTCACGCCCCTCCACTTTTAGGCACGCCCCCCCACACACACATCTGGTCACGCCCCCCCCCCGCTCCCCGCTTTCTAATCACGCCCCTTCCCTACTGGCCACGCCTCCTTTTTACTATCACGCCCCCTTCCATGCAGCTCACGCCCCCTCTTCTGGTCACGCCTTCTCTACCCATAATAACGCCCCCCCCCACCCCTAATCACGCCCCCCACTTCTGGTCACATCCCTCCCACCGCTGATCACGCGCCCGAACCCCTGGCCACGCCCCCCCACTTCTGGTCACCCGCCCCCTTGGTCTCACCCCCCCCCCTAGTCACGCCCCCCTAACCCTGTCCACGCCCCTCCTTAATTCTGGTCACGCTCCCCATACCTGGCCACGCCCCCCCCCCACCGCTGGTGACGTCCCCCACCCCCTGGCCACACCTCGCCACTTATGGTCACCTCCCCACTTAAAGTCACCCACCCCCCCCGTCACGACCCCCTTTCCATGGCCACGCCCCCTACCTCTATTCTGGCCACACCCCCCACTCCTGGTCACGCCCCCCCCCCTGGCCATACCCCCACTTGTGGTCACACCCCCTACCCATGGCCACGCCCCCCTCTTCTGGCCATGCCCCCCTGATCACGCCCCCGTTTCCGATCACCCTTCGCCCCCCCCACACTTTATAGCCCCCCCTTACCCATGATGCACCGCGGTTAAACTAACACTACACTATACACTACACTATACACTACTCTACACTACAATATACGCTATACACTACACTATACACTACAATATTCACTACACATTACACGATACACTACACACTACACTACACTATACACTACACTACTACACACTACACTATACACTACTATACACTACAATATACACTACACACTACACTACAATATACACTACACTATACACTACACTACGCACTACACTACTATACACTACACACTACACTACACTATACACTACACTTTGCACTACACTATGCACTACACTATACACTACACTACACACTACTATACACTACACTAATAATTACACTACACACTACACTACACACTACACTATACACTACTATACACTACACTATACACTACACACTACAGTATAATACACTATACACTACACTACACACTACACTACACACGACGATACACTACACTACACACTACACTATACACTACACTATACACTACACAACACAGTACCCAACACACTACACTACACACTACACTATACACAAATTATACTACACTAAACACTACACTATACACTACACTACACTCTACACTACTGTACACTACAAAATACGCTATACACTACACTATACACTACAATGTTCACTACACATTACACTATACACTACACTACACTACACACTACACTGCTACACACTACACTATACACTACTATACACTACAATATACAATACACACTACACTACAATATACACTACACTATACACTACACTACGCACTACACTACTATACACTACACACTACACTATCACTACACTATACACTACACTTTACACTACACTATGCACTACACTACGCACTACACTATACACTACAATATACACTACACTATACACTACACTACGCACTACACTACGCACTACACTATACACTACACTATACACTACACTACTATACACTGCACTATACACTACACTATACACTACAATACTATACACTACTATACACTACACTATACACTACATTATACACTACACTATACACTACAATACTATACACTATTATACACTACACTATACACTACTATACACTACATTATACACTACACTACTATACACTACACTATACACTACACTATACACTACACTACACACTACACTACACAATACACTAGTATACACTACACTATACACTACTATACACTACACTATACACTACACTACACACTACACTATACACTACACCATACACTACACTATACACTACACTATACACTACACTATACACTACACTACACACTATACACTACACTCTATACATTACACTATACACTACACTATACACTACACTGTACACCGCCCTCCCTCACACCGTGTGGCTATTTCGAGGCGCTGCTTCGTGGATAAATTTGGCTTCGTCCACTTCCCCTGAGGCAACCTCAAAACTCCAACACCGGGTGGCTCAAAAGTCAGGACACATAGGGGTTGTTGTTGTGATGCAGGGTGGCCCAAAAGTCAGGACACATAGGGGTTGTTGTAGTTGTGATGCAGGTTGGCCCATAAGTCAGGACACAAAGGGGTTGTTGTTGTTGTGTTACAGGGTGGCCCATAAGTCAGGACACATAGGGGTTGTTGTTGTGTTACAGGGTGGCCCACAAGTCAGGACACATAGGGGTTGTTGTTGTTGTGGTACAGGGTGGCCCAAAAGTCAGGACACATAGGGGTTGATGTTGTTGTGTTACAGGGTGGCCCATAAGTCAGGACACATAGGGGTTGTTGTTGTTGTTGTTGTGATACAGGGTGGCCCAAAAGTCAGGACACATAGGGGTTGTTGTTGTTGTAGTTGTGATACAGGGTGGCCCAAAAGTCAGGACACATAGGGGTTGTTGTTGTTGTTGTGTTACAGGGTGTCCCACAAGTCAGGACACATAGGGGTTGTTGTTGTTGTCGTGATACAGGGTGGCCCACAAGTCAGGACACATAGGGGTTGTTGTTGTTGTTGTTTTGATGCAGGGTGGCCCACAAGTCAGGACACATAGGGGTTGTTGTTGTTGTACAGGGTGGCCCAAAAGTCAGGACACATAGGGGTTGTGTGTTGTTGTTATACAGGGTGGCCCACAAGTTAGGACACATAGGGGTTGTTGTTGTGATGCAGGGTGGCCCACAAGTCAGGACACATAGGGGTTGTTATTGTTGTTGTGATGCAGGGTGGCCCACAAGTCAGGACACATAGGGGTTGTTGTTGTTGTGATAGAGGGTGGCCCAAAAGTCAGGACACATAGGGGTTGTTGTTGTTGTGATACAGGGTGGCCCATAAGTCAGGACACATATGGGGTTGTTGTTGTTGTAGTTGTGATACAGGGTGGCCCAAATGTCAGGACACATAGGGGTTGTTGTTGTTGTGATACAGGGTGGCCCACAAGTCAGGACACATAGGGGTTGTTGTTGTTGTAGTTGTGATACAGGGTGGCCAAAAAGTCAGGACACATAGGGGTTTGTTGTTGTTGTTGTGTTACAGGGTGGCCCACAAGTCAGGACACATAGGGGTTGTTGTTGTTGTGGTGATACAGGGTGGCCCACAAGTCAGGACACATAGGGGTTGTTGTTGTTGTTGTTGTGATGCAGGGTGGCCCACAAGTCAGGACACATAGGGGTTGTTGTTATACAGGGTGGCCCACAAGTTAGGACACATAGGGGTTGTTGTTGTGATGCAGGGTGGCCCACAAGTCAGGACACATAGGGTTGTTGTTGTGTTGATACAGGTGGCCCACAAGTCAGGACACATAGGGGTTGTTGTTGTTGTGTTACAGGGTAGCCCAAAAGTCAGGACACATAGGGGTTGTTGTTGTTGTACAGGGGGCCCAAAAGTCAGGACACATAGGGGTTGTTGTTGTTGTGTTACAGGGTGGCCCACAAGTCAGGACACATAGGGGTTATTGTTGTTGTGTTACAGGGTGGCCCACAAGTCAGGACACATAGGGGTTGTTGTTGTTGTGATGCAGGGTGGCCCACAAGTCAGGACACATAGGGGTTGTTGTTGTTGTTGTTGTGCAGGGTGGCCCAAAAGTCAGGACACATAGGGGTTGTTGTTGTTGTATTTCAGGGTGGCCCACAAGTCAGGACACATAGGGGTTGTTGTTATACAGGGTGGCCCACAAGTTAGGACACATAGGGGTTGTTGTTGTGATGCAGGGTGGCCCACAAGTCAGGACACATAGGGGTTGTTGTTGTTGTTGTTGTTGTGATGCAGGGTGGCCCATAAGTCAGGACACATAGGGGTTATTGTTGTTGTGTTACAGGGTGGCCCATAAGTCAGGACACATAGGGGTTGTTGTTGTTGTGATGCAGGGTGGCCCACAAGTCAGGACACATAGGGGTTGTTGTTGTTGTTGTTGTGCAGGGTGGCCCAAAAGTCAGGACACATAGGGGTTGTTGTTGTTGTATTTCAGGGTGGCCCACAAGTCAGGACA